CCCCAAAACCCCAAAACCCCAAAACCCCAAAACCCCAAAACCCCAAAACCCCATATAAAAGAAAATCTGTGAGAGATTTAATTAATTTAAAAGCGGGAAAGTGAAAAATATGTCAACAGACGCTAACAGGCCAAAATATTTAACTAAGAATGCTGTGAAGACTATCCTAGATGCCCCAGATTACAAAGAGATCCAAGACCTGAAGCCAGTCTTCCAGATTCTTTCAGTAAAAGATATCTCTCACAAGAAGAGCATTAGAGATAGGATCCAGCTCTCAGACGGAGTTCATAAAATTCTATCAATTGTGAAGCTGAAAATTAATTCAGCTCCAGAACAGGCTTATAAGGCCAATGACATTGTGAGGATCAACGGGTTTGATTTGAAGACTATCTCCAATAAGCAGATTCTTCTTCCCTCCAATAACTTTGACATCATTGCCACAGATATTGACACCCAGATAGGAAAGCCAAAGGAATATGTTGAAGGAGAAGACGAAGACATGGACTTTGAAGCTGAGATTCCATACAAGAATAACCCTGAAGAGAGGAAGGAAGAAAGTGATGTTGAGATGAAATCTCCTAACAAACCCACTCCTTGTAAAAATTCTGCTAGTAAAGAGGAGATCAAACTCCAAGTAACCGAGGCTGAGATGGAAGATACCAAGGAAGAGCCATCTCCTCAAAAGAGTTATGAAGTAGATGATGCTTACACACCTATTAAGACTGTTTCTCCTCTTAACTCAGACTGGATCATCAAGGCTAGAGTTAGCAAGAAGAACAAAGTAAAAGAATGGTCCAATAGCAGAGGCTCTGGAAAGCTCCTCAACATCGAGTTGATCGATAGACATGGCACTCAGATTCAAGCTACCTTCTTCAACAAGGCTGTTGACAAATTTGAGCCAATGATTCAAGAGGACAAGGTCTACATTTTCTGCAAAGGGACGGTCAAGGTTGCCAATCAGAAATTTACCTCTATCAAGAATGATTACTGTTTGACATTCAGCCACTTATCTGAAATTACTCAGACCGAGGACGACACTAATATTTCCAAGAATGTGTTCCACTTCACTAAGCTATCAGAAGTAAGCAATATTGGTGCTGGAAAGATAATCGACCTCATTGGAGTCGTGACCTCTGTGGGAGATGTAAACTCAATTAGCCTTAAGGATGGCCGCCAAAAAGATAAAATTGATTACGAAATCGCTGATAATAGTATTGATGGAGGAATGAGAGTCACTGTTTCTATCTGGGGTACAAAAGCTACCTCCAAAAAATTCTCTGTCGGCCAAATAATAGCAATTAAGGATCTCAAAATCAGCACTTTTAAGGGAGTCAGCTTAAATGGAGGGGATAATAGTTTCTTGTGTGATGCTACCCAATTAAAATTAAAGGAATCATCTGAACTACAGTCCTGGTACAGAACTGCAAAAGATCATGTTAATGATATCAATTCTCTCACAGAAGGAAATCAAGCAAGCGGCACCCCATCTTTAAGAAATGTGAGATTAATCAAAGAAATTGAGGAAAACTCTAATGATGATCTTGCAACAGACCCAACAGTTAGATATTACATTAATGCTAGAGTTGAGCTGGTCAGAAATGACTCAAAAATGGTATACATGGCCTGTCCTTCATGCAAAAAGAAGATGACTGAAGAAGATACCAGTGCATCGACTTATAGATGTGAGAAGTGCGGAATGTCAACTTCAAACCCAGTCCCTACTTACATAATAACTGTAAAATTCACTGATGGAACTGGATCAATCTGGACAAGAATCTACGGAGACAATGCTTTGCCAATAATGGGAAATACAAAGCCAGAAGAAGTTCATAAAATGTTTGCTAACGATTCTGAAGAGAGTAACGTAGAAATCAGAAACTTCCTCAACAGTTTGAATTTCAAAGAGTTCAGCGTAATGGTAAAGCCAAGTATCAACAGCTACAATGGACAAGAGTCCTTGAACTACCATGGATCTAATGTGAAAACCTATAAGCCAGAGAAAAGCAACCATTTCCTTCTCCAAAGATTAAGCTTATTTGAAGCTCCCAAGGCATAATCACTGTCTATGAAAATTGATTAATTTGGTACTAAATCAAACAGTTCAATTTACTATATTTTTCAGGGGTTTTGGGGTTTTGGGGTTTTGGGGTTTTGGGGTTTTGGGG